TTCAGAAGGTAGCATTTGTTGTATTTTTGTTGGTCTATATTGCAACTGTCTGGAGCAACATGCTGATCATGGTGACCATCATTGGTAGCCCCACTCTGCTGGAATCCCCCATGTACTACTTCTTGGCTTTCCTGTCCTTCCTGGATGCATGTGTTTCTTCTGTCATCACACCAAAGATGATTGTTGATTCCTTCTATGGAAGAAACACCATCTCCTTTGAAGGCTGCATGATGCAGCTCTTTGCTGGACATTTCTTTTCTGGGGTGGAGGTGATTGTCCTCACTGCCATGGCCTATGACCGCTATGTGGCCATTTGCAAGCCCTTGCACTACTCCTCCATCATGAACAGGAGGCTCTGCTGTGTTCTGGTGGGCACAGCCTGGACAGGGGGCTTCCTGCACTCCATCATCCAAATTCTCTTCACTTTCCACCTCCCCTTTTGTGGCCCCAATGTCATTGATCATTTCATATGTGACCTGTTCCCATTACTGAAGCTTGCCTGCACTGACACTCACGTCTTTGGCCTTTTGGTGGTTGCCAACAGTGGGTCTGTCTGCATTATCATCTTCTCCCTGTTGCTTGTGTCCTATGGTGTCATCTTGTTCTCCCTGAGGAAGCACACTTCTGAGGGGCAGAGGAAGGCTCTGTCCACCTGTGGGTCCCACATTGCTGTTGTGATTTTGTTCTTTGTCCCCTGCTTAATGGTATACACACGACCTCCCTCTGCCTTCTCCTTTGAGAAAATAGTAGCACTATTTTACTGCATGTTGCCCCCTTTGCTTAATTCTCTGATCTATACTTTTAGGAATAAGGAAGTGAAAAATGCTATGAGGAAAGTATGGAACAGGTTAGTGGTGATGTCTCATGAGAGAAAAATGTTACACGTATAAAAAAATATAAAGGAGGAAGATGTCAATATTTATTTAGAAAATCATTCACTGACTGTGGTTTTCAGGAAGTCATCACATTTTCCAGTAGAAAGCATTACTGGGGAGTCAGAAAATTCTGTTTTCCATTTGAGACCTGACTTTCGCTCTGAGTGGGTATCTCCTTATCATCATATGTAAATTAAACAGAGCTCCATTGCATATTCTTAACTCTAATTTTAAAACAGGAGGGCATTTTCCCTATCAGAATGCTTGCCTTTCACATCATGTGTTGAAAATCCTTGAAAAAGAAAATTAGAAATTAAATAAAGACATGTATTCTAGCCATTCCAAGTGTAGAGACATTCTTATATGATGTTAAACTCATTGACTTTGATAAAAAAGCATCAGAATGTAAAACAAGCAGAGAGTGGAGCACTCACAGAGCCCCAAATGTGGGTCTTCTAGTATCATTTGACTTAATTTTAAGGCAGCTCTATACATATCTGGCATAGAATTTGAGTCACTTTTTGAATTACTTGACAGACAAAATGAAACGGCCCAGTCCTGCCTATGAGTGATTTGCTCTTGCATCAGGTGACTGCCCCATCCCAGCCTTCTGCAGGAGAGGAAGGAGGAGCAGATCCCACAGAGAGCTCGGCAGTGAAGATTCCTACTCCAGGCCCCCCAAAGGGAACTCTTGGACCCCTTACCACTGGCTTCCCCATCCCCAATCTGCACATGTAGTGATCCTACTCCTCCCTTTCCCTAGAATAGAACCCTTGGGAACCAGAGGCTTTAAGGTAGATGTCAGAAGAGTATTATTTTAATTTACTTGGTGATTTTAATTTTCTTGACCCTGTATAGCTATGTCAAAATAAGTCTGAATTCAGACACATTTTATGTCAGTCAAGTGGTGATATTTTATTAGTCTCAGGTTGTCCAGTGGCCTCTTCAGCCAATTTATTTGCAGTCAGATATTTCAATTTCCCCTTACGAATCAACACTAGTAACACCATGAACACATATTCCTCTGACTACAGGATTATGCAAAATAAATTTTTTTAGAATATCAGAATGTCAACCATTCTGACTATAAACTGACTTATTCCCCTGAAGAGTATTTTGAGACAATTTCTATATGACATGAAAAGAACTGACATAACACTTAAATACTACAAAAATAGTTGAAAACATATTTGTAATGCAGTTCTCTATAAAATATAGTTAATCTTATTACCTAAAAAATTGAAAAACAAAAGACCACCCTGAATAATGGTGAAAACCTCATCAAAGAAAAATGCTCATCATTTGGATATCATTGGCAGAAAACTGAAAAGATTTTGTTGAGGGGAAGAATGAAGGTATCTAATGAAGACATTTGTGTAAAATTTGTTTAAAAATGTTCATAAAGTTGTAAATTTCTGCTTGTAACATCTTAAAATATTATACCATGAACACACTTTCTACTATTTAACTGGAGGACAAAAGAATATCTTGAAGAAAGTGGTTCTCAAAATGAGGTTCAAAAGCCCTAAGGAAATCTAATATAGGCTCAGTAATAAACATGGTAAACAAACACCCTGGGTGATTATTCTACATTCTGAAATGCCCTGCTGAAAAGAGCAACACTTAAAAGCAAGATCATAAGCATATTTCTGACATGTTAGAATTCTCTATAAGTTTATGTTGTGAATACTGCTTTTTGTTTTAAAACACATTCCAGGCATTAAGAGAAACATACACACCTCAGAAATGAACATGTGAATGTCTATAAACATTTTCCTTTGATGTTTTCATTAGTTTCAAAGTAAATTATATGAAGAAAAAATACATGACTACAAGCATTGGAAAAGTAATAGTTCTCATGAAATGGAGCATCTGAAAAAGATTAAAGGAAAATTTATTAAAGGTTTAAAATTTTTAAATTGTTCTAAATTTAAAACTAGATCATTAACTAAAATTAAACTAAGATTGTATTATTATAACTTATTTACATTTAGATGATGATGGTTACCTTTCAAATCCTTGGCATAAAAATGATACTAAAACAGAAGGATGATATATAGCATCCTAATTTTAGTTAATGATCTAGTTTTAAATTCAGAATAATTTATAATTTGTAAACATTTAAGAAATTATCTTTTAACCATTTTCAGATGCTGCATTTCATGAGAACTATTACTTTTCCAAAGCTTGTAGTCATATATTGTATTTTCTTCATATAAAAAAGATACAAGTACATGTGTTTTTTTCAAAATTGTTGCTATTGTGTGGATTTTCCTGAAGACTACATAAACTGACCCCAAAAGGTACAGGTAATGTGGTTGGAGAGAAACTAGCATAAGTAAGATATTTTACTGAAAAGACAAACTGTCTTTTCAAAACAATAAATAAATAACTTTAAAACAATAAATTAAAATTAGCTTTCAGACAACTCTGAAATGGTTAATTCTATCCAGGCTGGTAACAAGTTTTTCCAATAATTAAATGGCAATATAAGCAAAATGCATAGTTAAATAATGGGGATCAGACCCCTTCTTCTTCATACATCGTAAGACAATTGATATACTCAAAACCTGCAAATTCATATCCATCAAGCTCCCTCACGATGTCATTAATCATCTGGGGAGAGCTGGACAAGTTTATTAGTAAATTCAGGATCAAAGTTGTCCAAACTGAATCCCTCAGAGATATTTGATTTAAAGGGAGGTACCACCTGCTTTTGCTCCATCATGTCCCAGTCCACATTTTGAAAGAATGGATGCTCCTGAACATCAGCAAAGCTCCCGTGAGGATGACAGCCCAGTCGTTCTTTTGAGTCCCTGTTCAGAAAACTCTCTAGGATACTTGCAGCTTGCACAGACTGAAAATTAGGTATGATAATGTCTCCTTCCAAAATTACTTGAAAGAGATTCTTGATTGAGTCTTCATAAGGGTTATCAGAGTTCTCATCAAGATGGAATGGAGACTCTCTGATCATCATCATATACATCAGTACTCCAAGAGCCCACCAGTCCACACTGAAACTGTAATCTTCCTCTCTTATAATTTCTGGAGCCATGAAATGAGAAGTGCCACAGAAAGTGTGGGTCATGTCTCCTGGCTGTAAGCTTTCTTTACTCAAGCAATAATCAGTGAGTTTAATGTGCCCTTCTGAGTCCAGTAATACATTTTCCATTTTTAAATTTCTGTGAATTATTCCTTGCTGATGAAGATAGCTGACTGCTAAACTGATTTCTGCAGAGTAAAACCTAGCATGTTCTTCAGGAAGCATGCTTTGTTGCTGCACATGAAACAGTAGATCTCCCCCACTGACATAGTCTAGAACAAGGAACAGTCTGCTTTCTGTCTGGAAGCAAGCAGGCAGTGCAACTAGAAAAGGACAATTGGATGTCTGCTATAGAATGCACCTCTCTCTCTGTACCCAATAAATGTAGAAATGCTCTTTTTTCACTGCTTTCATGGCACACATATGATCTGATTTTTTCAGTTGGACTAACAATATTTTCCCATAACTTCCTCTGCCAATCACTGGGAGCAAGTCAAGGTCCTCAAGATCTAAACCAGATGAAGCTTTGCCACTTTTCCTGGTGTTCCCTGCCTCATTCTCTTCATCAACTTGTTCTAAAGCCTCATGAGTTGAAAGGTTATGTAGGATTGCTGTGTGTGCAGGGTCTGAAGTCATGGATGATGGATTGACTGGCACCATGGGCTCTGGTGGTAAAGAATGCTGAACACATTCAACTGTGACAAGTTTGTGCCACTTCTTATGAACTGAGAGTTTGCAGTTGGTGCAGTTATACACCTGGCAGCCAAGTCACCCTACAAGGTCTGTGCAGAGAGCCCAGTGAGCTTGCCTGCTGAAGCTTTTGGCCTGAAAAGTGTGGCCATTTGCATAATAAAGCTTTCTCCAGCAGCCTGCAGCTCTATGGTGGATGGATTTCTCTCCTCCTGGACAAAGGACTTTAGGATGTTCTGATATACAAGGTGATGAATGAATAAGAGCTCAGAATCTTTCTTTAGCTCAGAAAGCCTAATGGCCTCTTCTAACCCCAACTGAGGTGACACAGTATATGGGTCTCCTTCCTCCTCTACCCAGTGTGTGGTGAAAAGCTGTTTATTGTCCAAACACCACACGTCTCGATCTTTATCACACAGGCCCTCAAACAGGATGGAATTCTCAAGAGACCTTGTCATGATGTCTCTTCCCAAAATCAGGGCCGATCAGGTAGAGGTGTAGATGGTGGAGGTGCCTGGGAAGAAGGGACCATAAATGGGTTGGCTGCCCAGGGAAACAGGCAAGCAGGGCTCAGAGAATGAGAGCACCCTGACTGCCTTCAGGGACCACACTGGCTGGAATTCTACAAGGCTCTTTGTGAAGTTGTTTCCAATAGTGCCGGCCAGGCCTGGATGGATGTACACCAGGCTTCTCAGTGTCTCTCGGGGGCTGGTGGCTGTGACTTCGGTCTCCCCCCTGGACTTTGACTCTCTAGGTTTTCTGCTCCCAGCTCTGGGGAGGCCTGCTCAGAGCTACTGGGTGTTTCTGGGCCTCATGATACTTGCCCTGTCCTCTTCCTAGTTTCTGTGCCATTGGTATTTAGGCTTAGGGAGACTTCACTGTGGTACCTTGATTTTGGTAGGTCACTGGTGGTCACTCCCAGGGAGACCATCCCTGGGGTGTCTGTAACAGTCATGTGGCATCTGGATGGAGTCAGCCATCTTCTTAATCTTTTACAGACACTTTCTCTGCCTGGGGTCCTGAGGCTGTGGCTCATGCAGCTCAGCGTGTTCGCTGTTGACTGTCTCCACCCAAATGAGGTCAGGAGACAGCTGTTGCTAGGCTGTGACACCCATTAACAAGGGTTCCAAGTTCTGTTTGGAGATGTTGCCAATGAAGTGAGCTCATGTCTTGGGGTTCCATAACCTGAGTCTCCATTTGATAGAAAAGCCTATAGTCCTGTAGGGATAGAGACCCCTAGTCAGGGAGAGATGAGCCCCTCCCCATAGGAGTGTTAGAGAGA